GGAGGTGATAGTGCTGAAGCTTATGATGAATCTTTGAGAGAAGGATGCCAGTCCCAAAACTTACCTCAACTTGGTGAATGATTGTGGTACAACCCAACTGATAATGACCTCTATTTTACGGGATCCATCTAAATGCTTGCACTAGACACGATGTAACCCAGAAAGCATAATTGGCTTGGTATGAAGTGACATTTCTTCGGATAGGCATATAATTGCTCAGCTTGCAATACCTCAAATACTACCTTCACGTGATGCAAGTGATCCTCCTCCGATTGGCATATACTAGAAGGTTGTCAAAGTAGACAACGACAAACTTTCCAATGTGACGTCGGAATACCTGGTTTATTAATCTCATGAAAGTGCTAGATGCGTACGATATATCAAAAGGCAGAACAGTCCACTCATAAAGTCTATCTTGCATCCTAAAGGGGGCCTTCCACTCGTCTCCTGGCCTCATCCGTATTTGGTGTTATCTGTTGCGCGGTCTATCGCGGAGTAGATGGCGGCTCCATTTAGGTAGTCTAAGAGATCACCAAGTGAGGTATGCAGAATCGATATTTAATGGTAATCTTGTTGATGGCCCGATTGTCGATGCACATTTACCATTATCTTGCAATAAGATCCTGCACTTGCCATTATAATTCTTCATACTCCGCATGTCTTAATCTTGCAACGAGCTCTGCTCATGTCTATGGTGTGTTGGATGTCCCTCGATGGCGGCAATCCCTCTATTAAGCTGTCGATCGTAACATCCTGAAAGTCCTGTAGCGAGTTGCAGTAGTGCTGATATCGCTCTTTCCTTGTTTTCTTCCAAAACAAATGCTAGTGTTACAGGGGTATCTCTAGCTGACTACAGAAAAGTGGTACGAGGAACTAATGTTGCCTTTGTATCGCTCTCGCCTTTTACATCCTTAGCAATTAGTAAAACGATACATTTCCCTTCCTTCAAAGAATAAGTGTTCTTGAACCCGTCATGTTGAGTCTTACGATGAAACTGTCAAGGGCTTCCTTACAGAATGTGGCAGACGTTCAAAAGAACTATGTCACACCATACCTGCTTGTGTAGCTGATCTCCGATGGAGAAATCAACTAGGCACTACTGATCTACATGTATCTCGTTTGTCTTCTTCAGTCAGGTAAGTGAATATGACTAAGGATGCTTTTGTGAGTACAATCCTAATTTTTTCACCATGAATGTGGACACCACGTTCTCGCAACTCTCTGTCAATAATCATGTTGCAGACCTTACCCTTGAAGGTGCACTTGGTGCAAAAAATGTTATGTCTTAACCAGGATTGGCCCCGCTCTTGTTCGGGTTGTAGTATTCGCAGAACGGCTAATGCTTTTCCTTCATCTCCGTAGAGCTGAAGTTCTTCTTCAGTATTCTCCTCTGATTCCTCATTGATTTGCTTGACATTGTGACAACTTGTTGGGCAGCTGAAGGTTATGTGACCATAGTCGTGGCACCTGAAACGCTTCCTGGTTGGCACTGTATTGAAGGAACTACATTTCTCAGACTTCTTCCCACGCTGATCCGCCTTATCAGATCCTTGTCCAATTTTGCTATTCCTCCCGAGGTACACTTGTCGGCTTTAGAAGTTGCAAGTGACTGCTTGGTTGACGATATTGGTTTGAAGGATGTTTGTTGCTTGCTTTCCTTCTGTTGCCTCTCCACCTTCAGGGTTAGTGTTTATACATCCACCAAAATCTAATATGGTTGTAGTCGTACCACATTGCTAATAACGGGTTTTAAACCCCCAAGGTATATGGCAATCATGTGCTCCTCTGGCTCTGTTAGCTTGCACTTTAGTTGCAAGTGGTCAAACTGGGTCATGAACTCTTCAACTAAAAGATCTCATTGTTGCAAGTTGTGAAGTTTTAGGAACAAGTCCAGAGATACTATGGTAGGAGGTATTTCTTCTACATTGACTTCTTCATCTTCTCCCACTAAATTATCTTCTTACTTTCTTTTCTCCTCCTCTGCCTCTGTAAATTTTCCCACCATAATGAGGCAATCTTCTTTAATTTAATTGCAGTTAGCTTGACTTGTTTGTCTTCTGGTATGTCCTTATACTTGAAGATACATTTGACTAATTGCAGTCAGTCGATAAACTCATCGAGGTTCAAGCCTCCCTCAAACTCTGGGAGGTTCATCTTGATGCCAAAGTCATGCTGACTCCATAAGGGGCTTCTTCTCTCAGCCTCCTTTGATATTTGATAACAAAACGACGTGTTCGATTATTCTTCCTGACTGTGATCTTCCCTATGGAATAGATTAATCTCTTCTTCCCTGTATTCCCTTTGACTCTCCCAATCACAATCAAAGGTAACATCTTCCTGGTTTCCTCCATCCAACTCTGTTAATCTCCCTTGTAGACAACAAATTCCTCTTTGAATCTCTTCGCGGGTCCGTTTTGGAGTATCTCTCCATGGTGGCATGGCTAGGGTTGGGAATCGGAAGAAAAAAAAATTGAAGGAGGTGAGTTGGATAGGGGCAGATGTAGAAGAACCCTAGGATAGGACTAGCGTTGAGCTAGCTCTAATACCAAATGATACCGAAACTAGTAGAAAGAACAGTGAAATACACAAGTAAATTTTTATTAATATAGAAATAGGATTACAACACGACTCAAATAAAAAGGAATTACAATAAGGGACAAATCCCAGGTTAAGGATGTAGGAAGATGCCCAAAGGAGGTGGGGCGTCGGCGGGGTGGTAGAGAAATATGGGGAAGGTCGGGTGGTTCTTTGGTAAGTTGGGATGGTGTTCGATTGGTTGTAGGAAGATTGGACGACGAGATCATGGAGGAACGTAAGGGTGGCGGCAAAGTGGTGGAGAAATATGGGGTGGTAGGTGGCTAAGGCGAGTGGTAGGAGAAGGTTCAGGAGGAGCGAAAAAGATTGAAAGTGTACAACAACACTTCGAAAAAGAATACAATAGAAGCACCACTTATCGTCGGATACAACCCCAACAAGAGGGAAAAGACTCCTCCCAAGAAATCAGAAAACAACACCACTACAACTGATTCTCCACACACAGGGTACCGCAATTTATAGGCTCCCCCTGACGGAGGAAGCTTCTACACAATAGAAGAGAGTGGGAAGCCAAAAATAAATCCAAAAAACACTCCCTAAAGCAGTAGATTTGTCATGTCATGGATGGATCGTGATAGTTTGTGTGATCCATCTAGCCATCGTGCGAGATCTCTCACTCTCGCGATCCCCCTACTACCGCTTCTGCGATGCCAACCAGTGTCCTAGCCCCTCGGTTTGAAGCGCCCACACGGGCGTGACTTCGGCGCCTGCATCATCGACCCCAATAACCCATTTGACATAAGGCACAATAGCTATTTGGGACATTTTTTAATCAACTTTGGGTTAATTTTGAGTCAATATGGTGTTAATTTCAAGTTGGCAGATCAATTTAGAGTTAATTTTGGGTTATCGGGTCAATTTTGAGTTGGTGGGTCAACCCAACTCGAAAAATTAAATGGACTAGAATTTCTAGCGTAAAACTAAGCCAAAAATTATTCCGATCAAACTGAATTTAAAAATTTTTATTCAAGTACCGGTCAAGTTGGTGTTTCAAGTCAATTGACACCCCCAAATGATACATAAAGGATTGCACCACTCTTTGAGGAATGGCTACATTAAACCATACTAAATTGAACACACCTAAGAGTTGCCTATATCATGGATGGCTCGACTACAATGAACCTAATATGATCTGCTACAACATAATAGTTCATGATGCTGAAAATAATTATAAAACTTTAATTAGGCAGATGAAATTGAATGCTAAGCAATAAAAAATGCTTTGATATCTAAGTAGAGTGACAAAAAACAAAAATCTTAAGATGGATGTTAAGAATGATCATACAAGAAAGCTGGCTGGAGTGACATACATTAAAAAAATTGTAATTGAAAAAATATTTTTGTGACTTGGAGATTTAATAAATGATAGATAATGCAATCATTAAAAGAGTAAATAAAATAAAGCGTCAGAAGACTACTAGAAATGGGTAAACTTAACTTTCCATGAATAGAAATTGTAAAGGACATGATTCAGCTCCTCAAATAGCACTTATTAGGAATGAATAAAATAAAGGATTGATAAAACTAACTCCAAATGCTCGGTTCAAGGTTAATGATGATGATGCACTTCATTCAACGCATTAGAGTTAGTGACAATCACACCTAACTATTAAGTTTTAAGAACACCACCTAAGTTGCAATTCATTCAAAGTATAGAAACTCCTAGTTTCATGCACAAAGACATTACAATAAAGATTTAATCCTCACAATGATTAATACAACATAAGAAAATTTATCAAAACAAACATCTCGATAAGAGAAATCTAATGAGCCCAAAATCACTTAGCTCCGATATCGGTAGAGCATTTAAATGTTGAAAAAATCGCCTATAATAAAAATACTAAGACAAATTATAAAATAAAATGTTTGAGATTTTTTGCTATTATTACCCAAAATTTGCACCATATACCATAACAAGATCCCATTATCCACATGAAAGTGACTTGCTTATTGGAAAGAGCTTAGAGATCTAAGAAAATTCAAGAGCCCTCTGCGATGATTAATATTGAGGAATACTATCAAAAACCACTATTGTTGATTGTTGTTGACCATCATCACCCAACTGCCATTGTCCCCCAGCCATGGCCCAACCGTAATTTTCTGATCATCATCGTCCGATTGCCATTGCTCTACTACCATCGCCCAAAAATCATTACCCAACTGCCGAAGTTTAATTTTTATATAGTTAATACAGCCTGATTTCATCCACCGAAATAAAACCCTATAAGACGAACAGTGTTTCTTTACATTTGTTATGAAATATTGGGTGAAAATACTAAAAATACTGTCAGAATCAACAGAACAAAAGTGTTCAAAAACTATTGTTAGTGTAGTAATCATTATGCAACACATCTTAAAACCTCTAAGAATAAAACATCAATAGAGCTCCAAACAAGACATTGTACCTAAGTTCCTGAATTACTGCCAATGATTCTGAAGTAGTTTGCTGCGAATTCAGAAAGGTTGCCGCTATTCCATATTTAACATTCAAAGTAAAAACCTGATCTTGAATTAATGAAAGGAGAGGACAAATGACAACAGTAACGCCAGGATGAAGAGTTGCCGGAAGCTATAAGGAATATCAGTAAGTTAATCAGCCAATAAACTAGACAAATTACATGGAAGGCAAATGTACATACCTAGCACACAAATCTTATGTATTTACATATCTCATGCCTAAACTTCATAATTACATACATACCACTTTAGTGCTTTAAACCTATGCATGAAAAGGCGTATTTCACCTTTAAAAAGTGGTAGTAGTGCTATTTTTTATGTAATGATAAAGACTTGAGTTCCATGTGTGTAACTATGAAAGTTTAGATGTGAGATACAGAAATATATTAGGATTGCGTGTTATGTATGTAGATGCCCATATATAAAATCATAGCTAAATTTTAGGCAATGATATGAATTTACAGAAGGAAAAGCAATACATGTAAGAAATTAGTCTCAACTTTCATATGGATTATTAATATCAAAGTTAACCTAAACCGCAATTGTGGAAGAAAATATTATTACTCAAAACATATAGGGTTACAATCAAGACTCAAACGGAAGCCAAAAACACAACAAACATCAATATTATTAGACTAGGGCCGGGTAGGAATATCCGTGGACAGTTGTGGCAAGGGCGTGGCTGGCGGCTGAAAGCAGGGGATAGGCTGGGTGGCATGTGGTTGGAAGCAGGGGAGAGGCTAGGTGGCATGCAGCTAGAAACAGGGGAGAGCTAGGTGGCATGCAGCTAGAAACAAGGGAGAGAGTTGCAGACTAGCGACTGGAAACAGGGAGGTGGCCGGCGTCTGGAATTAGGGAAGGGAGCAGGGGGTTGGCAGCTGGATTCTAGAAAGGAGGGAATGGTGGTTGGTGGCTAAGAATCAGGGAAGAGAGGTGGGGAAGGTTAGCGACTTGAAGCAGTGGAAGGGAAGGGGTCTGGGGGCGGACGGTTGGATTTGGGGAAGTGGGATGTGGACGAAGTTGTGGACATAGTCACCAGCTCGAAGAAAGATACAGCCAAAGCCCTAGCAAGGGAAAATGCCTGGAGACAAAAAATTTGAAATTAGAATTAAAAGTAAACCCTAACTCAGCAAGCATCATATTTATAATAAGATAAATAGGAAGAGGGGGGTGGTGGTGCGGTAGTTCCCACCCAAAAGATACCCGGCCGGTCCAACCTCTCTGCTATAATGGGACCCTACTTGTTGAACCAGTCGATTCAGCCTGATCCCCACGTCAATTACACTATGGTTGATGATCACCATTGAAATAATGATGAACTCAGGAAGTGCAGAACTAAGGAATTGCCTTATTTTACACAATCTATAGTCCTATAGAGGAATTCAGTTGAGTGTCATACTTTAAAATTATGAGAAAGGGTAATTGAATGTAAGTTAATATGTATTACTAAGATTTCTCATAATCAATTTGGATTTATGTCGGGCATGAATACTATGGAAGCTATACATATATTGAGAGGTTTGATTGAGAAGTTCAAAGATAATAAGGAGGACCAACATATGATTTTATTGATTTAGAAAAAAATTATGACAAGGTTCCAAGAGATATCCTTTGGAGCAAGAGATATCCTTTGGAGGTCCTTTGGAGGGTTCTTGAGAAGAAATGTGTTGATATGACTTATATTCAAGTCATTAAAGATATTTATACAAGAGTTGTTACTTGTGTTCGAACAGAAGAGGATTGACCAAATATTTTCCTATTTATGTTGGTTTATATCAGGGATTGGCTTTAAGCCCATATCTTTTTGCTTTAGTTATGGATGGTCATGCTGGACAATTACAGGAGGATGTACCTTGGTGTATGCTTTTTGTTGATGATATCTTTCTCGTGGATAAGACGAGAGAAAAAGCTCAGGAAAAACTTGAATTATGCTGGTCTACCTTGGAGTCAAAAGGCCTTCGTTTGAGTAGAACAAAAACTGCATACATGGAATGTAATTTTAGTAGTAGCAGCTCTAGTGACAAAAATGTAACTATGGGTGATCAAATTATTAAAAGGAGTGAACATACTTCAGGTATATTGTTGAAAGTGACGGTGATATTGATGGGGATGTTATTAGTTGAATTCAAGTTGGTTGGTTGAAGTGGGGGAATGCTTTGGGCCTATTGTGTGATAGAAAAGTACTGCTTAGACTAAAACAAAAATTTTATAAGATGGTAATGAGACATACAATGCTCTATGGCGTTGAATGTTGATTTTTAAAAGAGAAGCATAAAACTAAGTTAAGTGTTGTCGAGATGAGAATGATTAGGTGGATGAGTGGCTTTACACTTAGGGATAAAAATGTGAAATGAATATATGATAGGGTTGGTGTAGCTCCAGTGACGGACAAAATTAGAGAGAGTCGTCTTAGATGGTTTGGCCATATTAAACGTCGACCAACTGATGATTCGATTAGAAGAGTAGATGAATTAGATTCGACTTATGTTAAGAAAGGCAGACGTAGATCTAGGAAGACTTGGGCAAATTGTATAAAAAATGATCTTAATTTATTATAATTAAACAAAAATATGACGCTCAATAAGACGCAATGGAGAAAAAGGATTCATGTAGCAGACCCACTTAGCGGGATAAAGGTTTTGTTGTTGTTGTTGTTGTTGTATAGTCCTATAGAAATTTGTAAGAAAATGTAGATAAAGCACTTGATGTAAAGTCCCTCTACAAAATACATATCTAAAGAGATCTTTTACGCGAACAATCCCAAATAGAAGCCTACATTTAATTGATCAATTTCAAAGAAAAATGTTCTCATATCTTAGCTGAAATAACTAAAACGGAACATTTACATACATACCACCCAATTCCTATGTATTTACATATCTAAAACCTATACTTTGCTTTTTATATTTATACCACCCAAATCTTTTATATCACTTCAAAAATACCACCATTCTAACTTATAAAAGGTAAAATACACCTTTTGATGCACAGGGAAA